GGAACCAGAGAGCCAAGTGAAAGTCTACCTATCACTATATATTCTTTGTACCTTTAGAATTTTACCTTTTATATATATATAATAGATTATATATATATATATATTATCTAGTCAAAAATTTAATTTTCAGTCATGCTTTTGATGGAAATCTGAACACAGAGCAGGAAAATGTATGTAAGTCAAATGTATAATGGTCTGTTTGTATGCAGCAAAATAAAAATCCCCCTAATTGATACTATTAAAAACCTGCCATGACGTTTTTCAAGATGCAACCTTAAAAACTATTTTACAAGGAAAATGGAAAATAAACTGCTTCAGAACTTAAAAAGATCAAAACAGTACAGAGAGATATAAGTAAAACGTTCTTAGGAGAATACAATATAACAGATTAATCCAGATTAAACAGAAGGAAAACAAGTCTAAATTATTTACTTTAAGAATTTTGAGTAGAACAATAAAACAAGCTAATATTGTTCTAAGCTTTAAATCCCAAACTAATTTGTTCTCAGTTAATATTGTTCTAAGAGCTTTAGAAATGTCCACTGACAACAGTGGTTCTCAAACTTTTTGGTCTCAGAACCCCTTTTACACTCTTAAAACTTATTCAGACCCACAAAGAGCTTTTGCTTATGTGAGTTATATTTAATATTAAAAATTTAACCTCAAAGTTTAAAAATGTTTATTATTCATCCAGTTCAGTTCAGTTGCTCAGTCACATCCAACTCTTTGCGACCCCATGGACTGCAGCACATCAGGCTTCTCTATCTGTCATCAACTCTCTGAGCTTGCTCAAATTCATGTCCATCAAGTCCAAACTCATGTCCATCGAGTCAGTGATACCATCCAACCATCTCATCCTCTGTCATCCCCTTCTCCTGCCTTCACTCTTTCCCAGCATCAGTTCTTCAGAGTCAGTTCTTCGCATCAGGTGGCCAAAGTATTAGAGTTTCAGCTTCAGCATCAGCCCTTCCAATGAATATTCAGGACTGATTTCCTTTAGGATTGACTAGTTTAATCTCCTTGCAGTCAAATTCATAGAAATAACAATAAGCTTATTATATGTGCTCAGTGTCTTCAGTTGTGTCTGACTCTTTGTGACCCCATGGACTGTAGCCCACCAGATTCCCCTGTCCTTGGGATCCCCCAGCAAGAATACTAAGTGGGTTGCCATTTCCTCCTCCAGGGGATCTTCCCGACCCAGAGATTGAACCCGCTTTTCCTGTATTGCAGGTGGAGTCTTCATTGCTGAGCCACTGGGGAGGTCCCATATTTGCTTACATAAATAATTCTTGTGTGTGAAAAATAACTATATTTTCCAAAACAAAAAAATAAATTTAATTAGAAGACTGGTAGTGTTTTACACGTCTGCTTTAACGTCTGGCTTAACAGAAGACAGCTGGATTCTCCTATCTGGCTCTGCCTTCAATCTGTTGCAATATCACACATGCAGCTTTTGAAAAAACTCCAATATACACTTGTGAAAAATGAGAATGAAAATAGCAAATACTGTCTCAGATTTGTTACGAGAATAGCTTTGATTTCACAGACTCCTGAAAGAATCCTAGGGATACACAGGGTTCTCCAAACCATTTTGAGACCTACTAACTTACATCAGTCCTATGTGGCAAATGTAAAAAGTGAGGCACAGAAAGAGTAAATAAGTTACTCTTATTTAAATAAGAGTAAATAAGTTATAGTAACAAAGCTAGCAATGAACTCAGAAAATCAGATTCCAGTCCCCTGGTTGTCCCTCTGAGCCAGGAGGAAAGCAGCAGGAGCTCATTTAATAATGTTTTACACAATGATGAAAAAAAACAAAAACAAAGCAAAACCCACTGGCTGCCTGGCAGTCACAATACCACACATCCACTCCACCTAAAGTAATAAAATTTCAAATTAAAGTTTTCAATTCATGCAAAGCCGAGGTAAGGGGTGCTGGTCTGCCCTTCAAGAGAAATAGCATCACTGAGGGATCAAGCACATGAGGGGGCAGAAACAGTCAAAAGCCCAGTAAGTCTCTCAGGGAACAGCTCTCTCTTCCAAACCAAGCTATTTCAACTGTCTCTGGAACTCTTACTCCATTCAGGCACCTCTTTACTCAGTCTACACAGAACACTGCCTTCAATTCTTTTTTTTTTAATGTTTAAAGTCTTTATTGAATTTGTTACACTACTGCTTCTGTTTTTAGGTTTTGGTTTTTGGGCTGCGAGGCATGTGGGATTTTAACTCCCCAACCATGAATTGAACCCGCACCCCTTGCACTGGAAGGCGAAGTCTTAACCATTGGACCACCAAGGAAGTCCTCTGCCTTCAATTCTTTTTTTTTTTTTGCCTTCAATTCTTAATTAAAATGCTCAAAAAGAAGAGTAATGAAGAGACTAGTTCTATCAGATAGTAAAGCATACTATATAATTTGAGAGCAATTAATATAGGATTGTCCTAGTATGGCTTCCTTGGTGGCTCAGAGGGTAAAGAATCTGCCTGCAATGCAGGAGACCAGGGTTTGATCCCTAGGTTGGGAAGATCCCCTGGAGAAGGGAATAGCAGCCCATTCCAGAATTCCATGGACAGAGGACCCTACAATCCATGGGGTCGCAGAGTTGGACATGACTGAGCGACTAACACTTTCACTTTCACTACTTGTCCTAGTGTATGATCGGGAGGGAAGGCAATAGGTCAGAATATGTAGCCCAAATCAGACCCAATTATAGAAAATGCAGTATATTATAAAATGAATCTAAAAATTCAAGAGATATATAAATGGAATGGTTTAGTAATTTGGAAAAGGAGAGTCTATTTAGACCTTCACTTTTAATCATAAGCCAAAATAAATTCTAGCAAGATTAACTGTTTTTACAAATAAAAGAACCTGCTAAAGCTAGGAAAAGCAGGACCAGACTTTATTTCAGCACTACGTCCCCTGAGCCTCTTCCAGGGCTGAGGCACAGCTGCCCCAAACAGAAAAAACGAATCTGAGTTTCGACTGTGTTGTTATCCTGTTATTTCATCTTTGGCAAGTCACTTTGCTTCCTGGCTGATTTATAAAAAGCAGATAGTAATGATACTGGCAGCATGAGAATGCTCACTGTAAAGTTTAAAGTGCTATACAAATCAGCAGAAGGAATAGAGACTAGAAACTGCATTCATCCATGCTGCTACCACCCGGATATTTCAGTGCTAAAAACTACGCCAATTTTCCTGGTAACTTTCTTTCTTTTATAAAAAAGACAATTTAGGTAAGAACATACACTTTCCCACTGGGTCTCAGTACAATTATTTTAATTCTGAGTGGGAAGAAAGATGCATCCAATAGCATGTATGTGCGTGTGCGTGTGCACTCAACTGTGTCCAACTCTTTGTGACCCCATGGACTGTAGCCTGCCAGGCTCCTCTGTCCATGGGATTTCCCAGGCAAGAATACTGGGGTGTGTTGCCATTTCCTTTTCCAGGGGATCTTCCCAACCCAGGGATAGAACCCAAGTCCCTTGCATCTCCTGCATTGGTACGCTGGCTCTTTACCAGCTGAGCCACCAGGGAAGCCCACGAGCATGTTTGCATGTATGCTCTGTCGCTTGAGTTGTGTCTGACTCTCTGTGACCCCATGGACTGTGGCCCATCAGGTTCCTCTGTCCAAGGGATTCTCCAGGCAAGAATACTGGAGTGGGTTGTCATGCCTTCCTCATAAGCATGTTTATGTCCCCTGAATTGGCCCTTTTACCAAAAAATGGCTGGCATCACTGCTCTAAGGGATTTGGGAGATTTTCTCTTCACTGCTACTTTTTGGAAGCCTCCGCTCAAAGCAGGAGACTATCCTCTGAAGTCCATGAAGGGTAGGGTGGAGGGGAGGAGGGTAGAAGTGGGTGTCTTGGAACCAATACCTTGTAGATACTGAGGGATGACTGTAGTTACAATCGGTCATACTCATATTGTTCATTCAGTTTAGCTTAAATTTAAAGCATTTAGTCCTCTGACCAGTCTGGAAGTGATGGGACTGGTTTATAAGCATCAAATGGTTCTTGCCAAAACCATTTAAAAATCATTTCCCACTGTTTTGTTGGCATCCATACTGAGTTCTAACTCTTGAGATTGTGAGCCCATCAAATATTTCTCAATCAGTTTGGCCTCCTGGAAGGATGATTTCATTACTTTTCTTTGATGTACTTGTGTGGCACAGATTCTACAACATGCATAATCTGCTCTATCTTTTGCCTCTTTTTTTCAAACTGTTCTTTGTTTCCTGTCCTCTATTCTAAATCCACCAGTATTTGTGTTTTTTTCTCATCTTTTTAATGTTCTTTTGTTTTGGTTCTTTTTGTTATTTTACTTGAGGAGTATATCATGTTTAAGAATTACTAATTCAAGGAAATGGCAACCCACTCCAGTATTTTTGCCTGGAGAATCCCATGGACAGAGGAGCTGGTAGGCTACAGTCCACGGGGTTGCAAAGAGTTGGACATGACTGAGCCACTTCATTCACTCACTCTCTGTAATATCCTATTTATGCCTGATAATACATACCTATGGTTTTTGGTTTTGTTTTGTTTTGTTTTTTGCCACACTGCTTGTGGGATTTCAATTCCCCGTCCAGGAAATGAACCCAGACCATAGCAGTGAAAGTTCAGAATTCTAACCACTAGGCCACCAGGGAATGCCCCATATCTATGTATTCTAAAAGTAAATTCTGTTCATTCACTCAACAAATATTTAATGAGTGCCAACTGTGTGTCCAGCACTAAAGCTATAGTATACAAATTTGTCTCCTTCACAGAATTTAGTCTATAGATTAGAACAGGCAAAGTGGATATATAGTCTTTCCACTAGATTATGAAGAATAAGAAACAGTACTATACAAAACAGCAGCTAGAAAAGACCTTTCGCTGAGCACAGAAACATAAATACTTTAGCATAATAAATTCAAAGAATGTAGAAAGAGAAATGAACCATCTTCTACTTCAAGAGTTGTATCAGCAATTTAGAATTGGAAGGAAACATCTCCAAACCTTACATCCACTGTACTATTTGATTCATGGTCAAACACTTCAAAAGCTTCTTTGATTTTTTTGTGAAATTCTGCTACAGCTACCTCTGCAAAAGAAAAAGTAAATAAAAATTATTTTACTCTAATTTTAAATTCAAAATTTAAAAACTCAACAACTAGAAATTATTAATAAGAAAGAACATGCTGAACGCTTCCCTAGTATTATTTTTTGGCGGGGAGGGGAGTTATGTAGGAGAACATCTTTATTCTCAGGAGAGGAATGCTTAAGAGTGAAATGTTACAATATCTGCAATTTACTTCCCCCCTCCCCTTCCCAATATTCTTTTTGTTTGTTTGTTTCTTTAATTCTTAGATTTATTTTTAAATTTATTTCTTTAATTATTTATTTGGCTGCATTTGGACTTAGTTGCGGCATACGAACTACCATTCATTCTCCTATTTCACTCAGATGCTCTATTTTTCCAGGTTGCAACATAACCTTCAATTGTGAAAACTATCAAAGGGATTTAAGCTTATTGATATTTATTAATTATTAATTTATTATAATAACATGGTGGCAAACTTCTAGTCTGATAAGCAAATAAATGTTATCTCATTATTTAAATGTACAGTTCCTTGCTTACAAGTAAATCTGAATAGTGATCTTTAATGTTTGTTTACCACCTCTGCTTTCTATGTATTGAATTGTCTGTTCAGGTTTTCTGCTCATCCCTACTGGGATCTTCCATTTTTTTCTTAATTTTGTATGAGCTCTTTAAATAATAAAGACTTACTGAAATTCTTACTTAATTCTTACTGAAACAATTACTGAAAACAATTTTCCAGGTCAGTTGTTTGAATCTGTTTTCCTAAAATGAAAACAGTTCCATCTCCCTTAGGATCATCAAAATCACACACGATTACTGAAGACAAAAAAAAAAAACAAAGTTGAGACCAAGTAAAAATGACTTCAAATCCTAACATGCAGAGTTAACTACTCTTAATACTGCCCTCTAATCTAACGTTTCACTCAACAGTAAATCGTGAGCATCTTTTCATTCTCAAAAAAAATATTTATTACATTATCATTTTTAGAGACTGATAATCCATTATAGAACTTTATCATAATTTATTAAACCAGCTCCCTAACTGTAGACATTTAGGTAGTTTCTAAATTTTTTTGTTGTTAAATATATTAATTCTTGAGTGAACCATTCTGCCCAATTCATCTTTGTGCATTTGTCTTATTATCTCACTGAAATACGATAAGTTGAATGCAGTTGAATTTGTGTAAGATAGTGGGAACATTCTTACTAGTTCTAATAGTAACAGGAAAAATCTCACTGGTTATAATACTGTCATTACACAAAGCTGATATTTGCTTTTTAAATTTAAGATTACATTTTAAAAGCACATTATTTTTTATTTTTATTTTAGTCACACATGTTGAGATTTCTTATCCTTTAAAGTTTAGAAACATAGCCTTTGAAAGGACCACCAAAAGAGGGAGAAAATTATCCTTTTTCTACAGGTTTGGTAAACTCAATTCTATTTTCTTCTACATTTAAAAATAGTACTGAAATCCATCTGAAAGTTATTTTGGCATGATTCAAAGTGAAAGATAAACTTCTAAGCTGATTTTAATAATTTCTAATTTACTAAGCACTTGAATTCTTTCCTCCTACTTTACAATGTGTTATAGTCCTTTATGTGATGGAGACTACTTCCATTGTCTATTCTACTGATTCCATTCTGAATTGTATTTCTACTGTTATGTCATTATCATCCCATTTCACTTATTAATATTATCACTGTTCCTGGTCTTCTTCTTAGGAATATTCATTAATATACTCACCAGTGTAAGTCTTCCAAATGAAATTTAGAAATTCAAATAAAATTTAGAAATTCCATGTAAAACACCACTGGGATTGCTATTGCAATGAAGCTATACACTGAGCAAGAATGAACATTTTAAAATCATTTTCACATCTAAGAGATCTATATTAGCTATATAGCCCTTTTTATATCTCTAAATTGAAGGTTATACATTATGGCTTTCCTCATAAAAGCCACACACAAATTCTCCAAGAAGATTACACCTCGGTATTTTATGGATTTTGTGGATATTGCGAAGGAAACTTTTTGGAAACCTTGACATTTCTAGAAGTAGAGGTAAATATTAATTTTTTAAACATTTGCTATTGATCTTATATCCATCTATTTCCCCAAACTTTTTATAATCCCTTTTCAGTTGGTTACTTTGTATTTTCTGATAATTCATTTTGTCTCTTCTTTCCAAAATGCATACTTTCTTATTTCTCCTTCATGATTTAGGACACTGGCCAGAACTACCAAAATAAATTGAATTCATCAAATGATAATGATAATCTTTGCTCTTTAAAAACATTATTATTTGATAGATTAGAATACTAGTCCTTTACCAGTAAATACAATTATGACTTGTGCTCTGAAATAGGTATTACTAACAAGTCTAAAGCAGTATTCTTCCATTCCTCTGCCCAGTTTTATATTAAGAACAATTACTAACCTTTAACAACCTCTAATTAATATTGATGTGAAGAACTCACTCATTGGAAAAGACCCTGATGCTGGGAAAGATTGAAGGCAGGAGGAGAAGGGGACAACAGAGGATGAGATGGTTGGATGGAATCACCGACTTGTCGGACATAGGTTTGGGCAAGCTCTGGGAGTTGGTTATGGACAGGGAAGCCTGGCGTGCTGCAGTCCATGGGGTCGCAAAGAGTCAGACACAACTGGGCCACTGAACCGAACTGAAGTTTTCTAAAATGGGTTCTGTTTCACACTCATTCCTCAACGTGTTTCTCAGTAAAAGGCTTCAGTAATCAAAAATGCCTGAAAAAGGCATTTAAAGGGTTTGTTTTTGACAAAAACAGACTCACAATATTATGGTCTCCTCTTGGGGATTTATCATGCATATTACCATATTAAACTCTTTGAGATGTTCTAAAGAAATTAATGCAGCATTTTCCAAATTTACTTGATCATGGAATCTCCTTTTTCCAATCGTCATCTGTCAGGAATAAATAATGCTTTAATAGACATTTGGAACTTCTGTAACTCAGGAATCCTCACCCACTGGATGCAGGTATGATGTGAAAGGATTACAAGAGCAGCCTAAAACACTGATCCTCTCATCTCTCAGTGTGGCCAGATCAAAGTCAGGCAGCTAAAAGAATCTATTCCAGGGATTCCTAGCAAGAGGCTCAAAGCAGAACAGGCTCTGACAGCAAGCCCCTTGGTCTATACAGGTAGCAAGCACAACAAATATCAAGCACCCAGTGCTCCATGCTTGCCATGAAAGTGATCTACCTCATATACTCCAATTTCAGAAAACAGAAATCAAATGCACCACTGCTCACCATGGACAAATGGACAAAGAACCCATGAAGATAGTGGAGTAGTTTGTGTTCCACGTGCCCAAGGAACATAGTATTGTGACTGAGGGGGCTTGTGGCTCTAAGAAACAGCCCATAATCCTTATCTTCATATACACTAGCTAATGCTACCCTTCCACTGATGATACGACCTTTCAGTAGCTGCCAGGCTCTAACAACACATAACATGTTATATAAATTAAATCTACACCATAATTTTTAAGTAATAATATGAGAAACTTCAACTGGATTGAAAAACCACTTGCAGGAACTTCCCTGGTGGTCAGCTGTTAAGACTCCAAGCTCTCAATGCAGGGGGCCCGGCTTTCATTCCTGGTGTAGGGAACTAGATTCCACATGCTGCAACTAAGACCAGGAGTAGCCAAATAAATAAATTAAAATAAATTTAAAAAAAAATTGTATTACATCACAAAATTTTCTAAAGTTATATTTTTCAATTAAAGTGTGTGTGTTTGACAAAAACAGACTCACAGAGAGCAAACTACTAACTAGTGGTTATCAGTGGGAGAAGGAGTGAGGGGTGAAACAGAATGAGATTGAGAGGCACAAACTACTATATATAAAATAAATAAGCACCAGTCAGAATGGCCACCATCAAAAAATCTAGAAACAATAAATGCTGGAGAGAGTGTGGAGAAGAGGGAACCCTTTTACATTGTTGGCGGGAATATAAATTGGTACCGCCACTGTGGAAAACAATACAAAGGTTTCTTAGAAAACTAAAAATAGAGGTACCATGTGATCCAGCAATCTCACCCCTGGGCATATATCCAGAGAAAACCACAATTTGAACAGATACGTGCACCCTAACGTTCATGGCAGAACCATTTACATAGCCAAGGCATGGAAACAATCCAAGTGCCCATCAACAGACAATTGGTTTAAGGAGATGTAAAATATAAATATATATATATATATATATATATATATATATATATCCACACACACACACACACACTGGAATATTGCTCAGCCATTAAAAAAAATAATAATAATGCCATTTGCCACATGGATGGACCTAGAGACTGTCATATGGAGTGAAGTCAGTCAGACAGAGGAAGACAAATACCATATGATATCGCTTATATGTGGAATCTAAAAAAAGGGTCCAGGGCTTCCCTGGTGGTCTAGTGGTTAAGAATCCACCTGCCAATTCAGGGAACATGGGTTCAAGCCCTAATCCGGGAAGATCTCACAGGCTGTGGAGCAGCTCAGCCCATGTGCCACAACTCCTGAACCCGTGTGCTGCAACTCCTGAAGCCCACATGCCTAGAGGCCGGGGTCCACAAGAGAGGCCACCACAGTGAGAAGCTACTCCTCAACAAGGAGTAGCCCACGCTCGCCACAATTGGGAAAGCCTGAGCCCACGTGCAGCAAGGAAGACCTAGCACAGCCAAAATAAACAAATAATTTTTTAAAAAAACAAAAATTTTAAAAGGGTACAAATGAACTTGTCTACAAAACAGAAATAGTGTTAGAGACGTAGAAAACAAACTTAGGCTTCCCTGTGGCTCAGTGGTAAAGAACCCGCCTGCCAATGCAGGAGACATGGATTCGATCCCTGGTCTAGGAAGATCCCACATGCCACACAGCAACTAAGACTGTGCACCACAAGCCTGTGCTCCAGAGCCTGGGAACCACAACTGCTGAGCCAACACGTACAACTACCA